GACCTTCACAGCACGTTGTCAAACTGCTGTCCTGGCCGTCTGCTGGAAGACAAGCTGACTGTCAGCCGGGAGAGCAGGTCAGGCCCTGGGAAGCAGACTCTGGGATGGAGAGAAGCTTGCAGGTGTTTTTTGGGGAGTGCTCTTGGGAACAACACCTGGGAACGGGAAGGGAAGGAAGCAGAAAGGGACAGAGTGAGAAGGCGAGCTGTGATGCTATCTCAGCGCAGTCCTCAACCAGCCTACAGAGAACTAGGGTGACCCTTCTAAAAAAAATTTTTTTTTTTTATCTCAGAGAAAGAGAGAGCACGTGCGTGAGCAGGAGAGAGGGGCAGAGGGAGCGAGAGAGAGAATCTTCGGCTCCATGCTGAGCCCCACCCTCATGTGGGGCTTATCATGAGACTCCTCATGGGGCTTGATCCCATGACCCTGGGATCATGACCTGAGCCCGACATCAAGAGTTGGATGCTCAACCAAATGAGCCACCCAGGCGCCCCTAGGGTGACTGATGCTTGCAGCTGCTCGAGTTGGAATGAGGAGGCCATACCTTTATTCTCCTATTTGAGCAGTCGATGAGTTCAGGCCTTCCAGGGAAGGGGTTTTCTTCCGCAGAGACAATTGCCTGGGAGCAGCTGGAGTCTGCCAGCTGGGAGAAGGAGTCCTCTGTCACCCGAAAGGGGATCTGGTTGGTGCCTGTCACAAGGCCCACCACCCTGATCTTTTGCTTTGCGTTGTTTACTTGTGGAATATGCTTAGTACATTGTCCTGCTGGTAAAATGCGTTGATTCTCTGTGGGGCCTTCAGAAATTACCTCGGAGTTAGAACACCCATGCTCCGGAGATGATTCTGCCCTTGTCTGCATTAACAGACTGAGTGTGGGAGGTCCCTAGTAAAAAGTTCTCTGTCTCTGTCTCTCTCTCTTTCTCTGGGAATACCCCAAGATCTGCTTCTTAAACCATCCTATCCCACTTCCCCCAACGGTTAGACTTCACCCTTTGGACCACCGATGCTGGAATTCAGACTTCACATCCATGGTGTAAACCATGCCTCACTTCTCTCCCACCCAGTCCAGGCTCCGGGACTCCAGCCCCAACCAGAGCCCCAGGCTCCCTATGTAGTCATTAAGGGAAGCTGGACACTGCTAATCTACCATGTGCCTTAAACTGTCACTCAACATCTCTTCAACTATAAAACAAGAAGGTCTGTTCTTTCCATTGTTATCTCAAAATTACTGGGTTTAGCAATCAAGTCAGGAAGTGAGAATATATGTTGTATGTGTGTGAGTGTGTGTTTAATGTATGTGCGTGTGTTCATTTCATAGGCATGGATTTGCTGGATGCATAGATGGATGGGTATGTGTGTCTCACAGCTTGGATGAATTCTATGAAATAGTCCACAGTCTGCATTTTCCCCACCACCATGTTTCACTTGTATGTCTTTTGGGAATACAATCATTATCGTGGAATAAATCGCTAGTAGAAAATTTTACCAAGAAATTTTGATAAATACAGCAGATGAAGGTGAAGTCTTGGTACTCTTACTGGAACATAGTAGTTTCTCGAAAAGGTGTCTGTAACCTACCACCTTACCCTTTCAGTACCTAAAACCCAACTTTTCATTCATTCATTCATTCATCCATTCATTCAATAAGCATTGAATACCCACTGGCAGTGAGGCTGTGACCCCAGTCCTTGCCCCAAATAGCAACCAGATGTCTTCATGCAGATTCAAACATGATCACAAGATGATGAATTTAGGCTGTAGAGTAACGCTCTTCTTTTTTATGTGTATGTCTTAGTGGTCTATCTTTTCAAAGATGCTCAGTTTTTCTTATGAGAAGTGTATGTAAATGTGTATCAAAAAAGAAAGTTTTCCCCACATACTCCCAAATATAGTAGCCAGTAGGCTACTTCAGTCCACAGGGAAAACCAATTTTGTCCTCTTAATTCACTTTCCGACCCATGTTATGGGGTTGTTGTGTAACAAAAGTGCTTAGCTAACAGTACCTCTACACTGCATTTTTCATTTTCAAAGTGTTTCCATAGCTGTTAACAAATGCAAGCCTCCCATAAACCTTGGTAGGTAAGCTAGACCATATTAAACCCGTTATATTGAAAAGGAACCCAAGGCACAGAGAAGGTTGGGGGATTGTTTAAGATCGCTCAGCTTGTCATTTAAAACAAAATACAAAAACAAAACTAAATCTGGTGCCCAGCTCTCTTTCCGTTGAAAATGGTGTCTATTTTAGAGTTTTTCATAGTAGATGCATTTTTATGACCTCGAGTTACACATGCCACAATCCAACCCCACCCCCCGCCCAACAACCTGACAGCAAATATCTCAGCTTGTCTGTAGCCTGTGTGATTAGTAGCTAAAATGACTAGTGGCATGTATCAATTCATATGAATCACTGATTAAAGAGGACTGCTATGAATCCAGGGTCTCAATTTGTTAAGCCCCAGGACACAATTCAAGCTCTCCGTAATCTGGCCTACTTGCTACTTGTTACTAATTGCTTGGACTTTTGAAATTATTTTATATTTTGAGGAGTAGTTTTAAATTCTCTTGGGTATCTTGAAACGTTCTGTTATAGGCAGCAGATAAGTATTTGCCTCTCAGTATCATCCCTTCTTGGCTTTAGTGCACAAGAAGAGCATCATTATCTTAAAACCTCAAGAGGGGACAATTTTAGCCAGCAAACAGGAAGCAGGAAGAACTTTCCCTCATCCTGCGCCTCTGGTACATGCTGAACTCTGCCTCCCGGACAGATGCCTCAGACACCAGAGCAGCAGAAGAAGGAGCGGGGAGGTAAGTGAAGAGGCTGTGGGGCCGGTTCCTGCAACCTTTTCCTAGCCCCTGTGCTCACCTCCTCTAGAAAGCTCTTCCTGGTAAATTACATTCCTTCACCTTAAACTACTCCAGCCTTTCCTCTGGAAGTGACCACAAAAAGCTCATACTACGATAGCAAATTAAAAAAAAAGAAATAGGCAATAAAACTGCATGTGCAGATTTATTTGTATCACATAACTTACAAGATAATCCTAAAGGAGAAGGTATTTGAAACCTCTGATATAATTTTGTGTTTATAAATTCAAATGCAAATGATGTACCGACATACCCTAAACAGATACGTGTGCTCACATGGAAAAATGCTAGAAGGATAACTGGTACAATATAACATTAATTATTCTTTCGTGTTAGGATAACGGGTATTTTCTAAGTTCTCTGTACCAAACATGGATTATTTTTGATACTAAGAAAAAATATTACTTATAAAAAAAAAGTATTCCTTAAAAAAAAAAAAAAGTATAGGGGCGCCTGGGTGGCGCAGTCGGTTAAGCGTCCGACTTCAGCCAGGTCACGATCTCGCGGTCCGTGAGTTCGAGCCCCGCGTCGGGCTCTGGGCTGATGGCTCGGAGCCTGGAGCCTGTTTCCGATTCTGTGTCTCCCTCTCTCTCTGCCCCTCCCCCGTTCATGCTCTGTCTCTCTCTGTCCCAAAAATAAATAAACGTTGAAAAAAAAAAAATTAAAAAAAAAAAAAAAAAGTATAATCTTGGGGTGGCTGGGTGGCTCAGTCGATTAAGTGTCTGACTTCAGCTCAGGTCATGATCTTGCAGTTCAGAGGTTCAAGCCCTGCATCGGGCTCTGTGCTGACAGCTCAGAGCCTGGAGCCTGCTTCGGATTCTGTGTCTCCCTCCCCCACTCATGCTCTGTCTCTCTCTCTCTCTCTCTCTCTCAAAAATTAATAAATATTAAAAAAACAAGTGTAATCAAAAATCTATCATATTCATGTATATATGCGCTTTTTTAAAGATCAGAATTGGTTGCACAACAATGTGAATGTATTTAACACTATGCCACATTGTTGTTGTTGTTTTAAAAGAGAGTAAAGAAATAGAGTATGGGTGAAGCCCTTTTCTATGAATGAAGTCTATAAGCTTTGGAAAAATTAAAAGGACCAGAAGAATTGCATTAAAATGTTAACATAATTCCTTTTCTTTTTCCTGAGTGGTGGATTGCAGCTAATAGCTATTTTAATCTTCATTATTTTGTTTAGTTTCTTAATGTGCACGGGATGATTAATATTAAATTTAAATTAAAAATAATTCCATGATTTCAAAAATACTGAATAAAAATAGTGACTATGTATGTAACGAGCATGGGATGATTAATATTAAATTGAAAATAATTAATTCCACGATTTCAAAAATACTAAATAAAAATAGTGACTACGTACATCAGTTTGTCCTTTTTGACACGTTGTTTTATATTTATTTGCACGTGGTTTCATGTGCAAATTTCATGTCCTCAAGGGGACTGCAGATTTCCGGGAGGTCTTCCCGTTGTTTTGCTGTCTTTAGAGTATTTTATGCATATTAAAGTGTGCATGTTCATGAACGACACTCTCATCTACCCACATAAAGGGGAGGGGAGCCTGCTCTGACCATTGCATTTCTTCTGCAAATGTAAATATCTGATCATAAGACTATGTAAAACATTTGAAATCCGTCAAAAACACGACAGACACGCAGGCCACTTTTATTGTCATCACTGTGCTCATTATGGGTCTGAAAGCTCATCTATGTTAATTTTGAGCAGGGTTCCCATCCTTTGTCTCCAGGCACAGGCCACACACTGAGCTGGCATCCTTGCTGTGGGAAGAACAAAGCAATTTACCGTTATTGGCAAGTTGGCCAATTTCATCATTAATCGATCATTCGCTTTTTCCAGTGGGGTCCTGAGGCTTTCCTCTAGGGAGCAGAGGGAGAGAGCAGGATTTGCTCGGTTGGGCATGGCAGCAACAGCCTGTGAAAGAAATTTTCAAGGTATTCCATCAATAAAGGAAGGTCGCTTGCCTTTGCAGCAGCATGCATTTCAAACCCAAGGAAAATCAGGCTTAGGATTTCCATCAAATTTGGCTTTCGGTGGAAGTTTTTGTTACTAACGCCCTGACTCTGCTGCAAATGCTTCTCCCAGAGGGATGTGGCATGATTCTCATGATTTTCGTACTAGAGGAAAGGGGACCAGAGGAACACAGAGTGCCCTGTCCCCTCGACCACTTGGCTGTCACCGCAGACTCGTCCTCAGCTGTCACATCATGTGGAGACAGCAGGTTGGAGAAGGAAGCAACATGGCACTCCTGATCCAGAATGCCAAGAGCTGTACTGAGATACAGACAGTATCTCTTTGCTCTTTTTTTTTTTTTTTTTTTTTTTTTTTTCCCACCAGCCCCAAGCTCTGGAGAGCATCGATAAGGGAACACAATGGACAAGAAGTCAGGGCCCACAGGATAACGGGACTTTGAACCTCAGTCGTTGTTAAATTTACAAATCACTCAAGTCACTCTTTTAGCTAAAGATGGAGGGAAGAAATGGTTTTTTTGTTTTTGTTTTGTCTTTGTTTTGAGAGAGACAGCACGAGCAGAGGAGGGGCAGGGAGAGAGGGAGGGAGAGAGAATCCCAATCAGGCTCCGTTCTGTCAGTGAAGACCCCAATGCAGGGCTCAAACCCAGGAGCCGAACTGCGAGATCATGATCTGAGCCAAAATCAAGAGTCAGATGCTTAACTGAATGAACCACCCAGGTGGCCCCAAGAAATGAGATTTTGACCCATTTTGGACCCATAATGCCTCTCAGGAGGAAAGATTCTTCAGAACAGTCTTGTTCCCCTATCAGTCATATTCCAGACAAAGACCCCAAGGAGGGAGACACCACATGGCCCTCAGTGTCGATCATCATGTGCTGTATCAGAAACACAGGTGGCTGGTCTCCTTGCACAAGCGGCCAGATCACTACCTTACTCTGCCTCCTTTTTCTAATCAATGACAATAGCACATGAAATATAGCTGAGTTTTCTAGTCACTCTTATAGAGGACTAAAGAAATAGGGGGAGGGGCGCCTGGGTGGCTCAGCCAGTTAAGCATCCGACTTCAGCTCAGGTCATGATCTCACGGTTTGTGAGTTCGAGCCCAGTGGGCTGTGCTGATGGCTTCGGGCCTGGAGCCTGCCTCGGATTCTGTGTCTCCCTCTCTCTCTGCCCCTCCCCCACTTGTGCTCTGTCTCTCTCTGTCTCTCAAAAATGAATAAATGTAAAAAAAAAAAATTAAAAAAAAAGAAATAAGGCGAAAATGTATTCATGCTACTTTCAACTCCTTCCCCTAAGAAACACAAAACTACCACAACAAAAATCAAAGTATCTTCTCTATGTCACTTTTAATTCCTTATGTTATCAACTCAAGCCAATTTTCAGTATCGTAATGGTGGGAACCAAGTCTTCCCCATAATTTGCCTCTCCCAAAGAGCCCAAGTCAGCTTTCTGTGCTCCTAGCACAATGGATGCTTACAAAATTAATGAAAACTAGCATGTGCATAACATATTTTAATCTTCACAGCACTTTTCCATCTGGGCACATCTTACTGTGTCCTGTTGCGCTCGTAGCAGGAAATTGAAGCCCCAAGGGGTTGACTTGTCCTGTATCATAAAGCACGACAGAGTTGGAACCAGAACTCAGGTTCTACTTTGGCTTGTGGTTTGAGTTTCCTTCTTTGGAAATACAAAAGTGGTGCGAAGGTAATGCTGGGGCTGATTGAACTAAGAAGTTATTTCAAGACTTGGGGCAGCAGGTTCTGAAAGTGTCCAAAACATCTTCCCAGAATCAAAATAGGGAAAGAAAGATGAGTTCACATATATGAAATGAGTTATCTCAGTCATGGATCTGAGAGAGTTCAGACTTCCTGAATACAATGTCCATACCTCAGTTGGGGATCCCAGATGGAAAGGCAGATGTCTCAGACATCCTGGTAGATGTTTTGAGGACAGTGAAACAAACATGTCAAAATGGATGATTGTACTTTTTATGTGTTACACCTGACTCAGAGTAGTTCTGGCATGAATTTCCCAAGTTAGTTAATGTCAGTGGAAATCAACAAGGATGCCTCTCTACCAAGCTAGGAATACCTAAAGTACCAATAAGCACCCTTCCCATAAAATAATATTAATACATTTAATAAAACATTCATTAAAATGTTATTCTCTAATTTCCTGATAGAATGCATTCTATCAGAATGCAAAGATTCTCTTCTTGACCCAACTCTAGGAAGACTCCTCTGAACCCTCTTCTTGACGAGGCCTCAATCTTAGATTTGAACAAACACTAACATAAGTTCTAACAGTTGCAGGCTACATTCCTAAGATGACTTCAGTCCCCCTTAAAGTACCTGCCTGAGGAAAATGCAAGACTGCTGAAAGAATTTGCCATTTGTTCCAGCCAACACCTGAAGACAGGGGCCCGTCTCCCCATCACTGTGGGAGAGGAGGGACCTAATGGCATAAATACCAGTTGGCAAACCCAGATGGGTTTCACATGGACCAACTTCCCTTCCTTGCGTTTTGAACTGTTTCACTCCTCTGACTTTACTGAGCCCATCTCCCTTCACCCCTCCCTTCCCATTCTCCCGTTAAAATGTCCAGTCACGGGGCGCCTGGGTGGCTTGGTCGGTTAAGCGGCCGACTTCGGCTCAGGTCATGATCTCACGGTCTGTGAGTTCGAGCCCCGTGTCGGGCTCTGTGCTGACAGCTCAGAGCCTGGAGCCTGTTTCGGATTCTGTGTCTCCCTCTCTCTCTGCTCCTCCCCTGTTCATGCTCTGTCTCTCTCTGTCTCAAAAATAAATAAACGTCAAAAAAAATTTTTTAAAAAAATGTCCAGTCACCTCTGTACAGATCGAAGATGAGTTCAGTTCAGGCTGGACTCTTTTCCCTATTGCAATAGCTATTACTGAGTAAATTCTGTCCTTCCCACTTTAACTAGTATCCAGCTTTGTTTATCTTTGACAGAAGGGAGCTTCTGCCTGGCTACCTCTGTATTTCCAACGTTAGTGCAGTGTTTGTTCGCAGCGCCTGCTCAATGGGTATTTGTTAAAAGAATGAATGAACACACACAGCATTCACTGTGGAGAATTCATTGAGAACTCGGTCCACAAAACCCATTCACGTCGTCCGCAACCCCTGATGTTTTATTCCTTTCCCATGTGGACTCAGGAGTACATTCTGCTTGTCAGCTTTCCCAGAATGCCACCCCACAGGGTGACTTCTGCCCAGGACTTGACTGTCAGACATATCTTGACTGGCCTAACCGTTCTTTTCCTTCCTCTGAACACATGCTTTTCTAAGACATCCATCCCATCTCAAGCATGGCCTCTGAGAGAATTTGCAGAGAGAATAGATTTACCAGCATTATAACTCGCTCAAGGTTGTGGGTTCCAAATTTGAAGCTGAACTTGAGCTTCTCTTGGTTCAGGTTGCAGTGAGCACTGACAAAAATACGACCTCCTAGTTCAAGAATAAAGGCCCCAGGGGCTTCTTAGCTATCAAGTTGCTCTTACAAAGGAAGATTCTGACGAGGCAAGTGTAAAACAATCAGAGTCCAAAGGATTTAATTTCTCTTAAAATATTTGATGGAGGAGGCATTTATTTAGCAACATGTAGGTGGAGTCTCACTCATCTCAAAATGTTTGAAAAAGAGATGAAGATATTTTTCCAATACCACGATGTGGCTCGGTCCTCTCTTCCTTTTCCTCTTTGAAGAGAGCCTGAAAAATGGCACTAAATATTCCCAGGCCAACTTCTGTACCACTTGAATATGACCATTATCCTAGATAAGCTTGGTTCAGGATACAGTAATGAAGCGGAACTTACTAAAAAACAACAAAAGCAGCAACAAGAAAGAATAAAATTTAAAATCGCTTAAATTCCTCAGCAGTGCTCTAATTTAACACGGATCTGGTGAGAACTTGGAATACATATCGTTTCTTTGAAATACTGTTTGTGGAAAAAGATGTTGCCTATAGCTATAAATATTTCTTGTTACCATCTCAGAAACTTCCAGAGGACCCTGGCCTGTCCAGCCAAATACGGGATTCTTCTGGGTTCGGAACTATCATTTACCTTTACACTTTTACTGCCTGGAATGTTTCAGGGAAATGTTATGAGGCTCCATGTGCTCTCTGGGCTCCAGCATATCACCCTCTTTCCAACAAGTAAGAAAACACACAACTATGCTTAAGATTGAACCATGAAATACAGAAGAGAGAGAAACGGTCTCTCCCCACAAGACGTTTATAATCTGGGATTTGAGATAAGAGTTACGCAGTTGAAGGAATTTGTATACAAGACCAAAATAATAATAATAATAATAATACAAATAACTAATATTTATCATGTCCTCACTTGTGAAAGGGATTGTTCTAAATGCTTTACATGTATTCTATCATTTTCTTCTGACAACTGTCTTATCAGACAGATGTTGGTAGCATCCCCATCACACAAGAGAAAACTTCAACAGGATAGGTTAAAGGCTTTGCCCCAAGTCACACAGCTGGATAGTGGTAACACTCAGATTCAAGGTCAAGGCAGGTAGTTCCAGAGCCCGAATGCCACTCCTCTTCCTACTACTGCCTTCAAACACGTGTGTGCTCCTGTAAAGGTTAATACACATATGCGTTCACAGAGAAACATCTACGTGACCATTACAGACTCAGAGCAGGGCTTGCCAATTCAGTCCAAATAGAAACCTTACTTCAATGTCTGCCATGCATTTTAATCGCTATTTGAGTCAAAAATGTGCACTAGGGACTTCTTATATGCAAGCGAAAAGGAGTTAAAGCATAGTGTGCCCACAGTGGGACTAAAACAAGCCTGAAAATGCTCTCGTGGTGAAAGGAAGGTGAACGTCACGTATTGCTGGGGGCATATGGAAGAGTTTTCGTAAAAGGCAGGTTAATTGAGCTGGGTCAGAATTTCTCAGCGATGGGAATTTGGGAGAGTTGAACAGCATTATTTATGTATATTTATCTACAATCTAAAAGAAGTGATTTCCATATCATAATTTTGTTATTGCTATTCTCCTTTATCTAACTTTTCCTCATGCCATGTTAATTGCTTACTATACCTGACCTAGACTTCATTCACCAAAATGGAAAAAAAGCTGATGGTCGTGACAAAAAAAAAAAAAAAAAAAAAAAAAAGAAGAAGAAAGACTTTCACCCCAAACCAAAGCTGGACCGGTTCAGAGAACACCAAGAGTGCCAGGTATGGACAAACTCAGGGCAACAGCCTCCACAGAATAAGCATCAGGTTCGTACTCATTTAACAACACGGCACATTCTCTCTGTTCAGTTCCTCCCTTCCTGCCTCTTACCCTCCTCTTCTTCTGCCGGTTAGAATGTTCCCTTTATTTGAGCAGTTTCTGGAATCCATTCCTTCCAAATTATCTTTCCTAATATTGGCAAGTTATTCTTTGCCTCGCCTTCTCTAACCATGACACTTTCAAAACAGCCTCCTATAAGGCCACCCAACTTTTTAAAAACTATTCCCCTCATCATCACCATTTTTTGAGGCTTGATAATCTTTTCAATTCGAACACAACTGACTACCATCAGTGATCTACAGCATGGCATAAAGTAAAGCTCAAATATATACATACATCAGAGTCTTCACTTGAAAAACCAAAGATTACTCTAATTGCATTATTGAGGATAAATGATGCCCAACAGTGGTTGTAGGAGAAGAAAAACAGGAAAGAAAGAACATAACATAATACAACAGTATCAGAACAGTGGAGACGGCTTCTAAAGATATAAAAGCAAAAAAAAAACAGCAATAATAACAGATTTTAATAAAAGCCAAATAGAAATAAACCAGGGGAACTCATCTAAGGTTTGAAATGTGTTCATATTACTCTCAACCCCAATTCCTTAAAACGAACCCCCACATTTATGTTTTAGCTCTTAGATCATCTTTCTCCAACGCCCTCCTTTTCAAATACACACATCCATCCTGAGATGCCCACCATTCACCCTCATTACTTCTCCACCTAGCCCTGATGTCTCCAGCTTTCTAGCTGCCGTGACCTTCAGTATTACATTTTGCTCCAACCACGATGCATCTCTACTCTGTGTTACCTGGATCCTTTATGTTGAACACCCCTTCCTTCTTTGATGGGGCGCAGGTCAACTTGCGTAATAAAAGAGGAAGGCTGATGGAAACATAATGAAAGCAGCAGAGGTTATTGAAAATGTTCTTTCACTAAGTAGATACATCCCCAAAACATACACAGGGAAGACAAATAAGTGTGTGGCTCTGGAAGAGGAAATGAAACAAATATGGAGACTGTGGTACATCAAAGGAAAGCTCACTATCATGTCAAGGATGGGAGGGCTGTGCATAAATGACTTAAGTATCAGAAGAAAGGGGAAATTCATCATGAATTCCTCTCTAATCAGAATCTTATACTTCTGGACACCTGATGTATAACAAGGACATTTGAATTTCAGCAATGCATGATTAAATGTACCTGGCTTATCCTATACTGTTTTAGCACATGAAGACCATATTGGAGTCAACATGTGTTGAGCTGTGCCAGGTGCTCTGCGAGGCCTGGATTACTGGGAAAAGGAAATATACGACAACCAATGGAGGAAAAACCATGTTGGAATATATTCTGATTTTCTGATGTCTTTAATAAGAAATCACTTAACAAAATGGAGGGCAATCTCTGAGCAAGTAAATTATCCAACAGCAAGTTTTGAAGAAGGGATTTTGCCTACCTTTATCTGAGGAAGGAAAAATGAGGACGATACGTATGGGCATTCATGTGCCTTAGTCATGAAAAGCAGAAAATAAGACAATTAATGGTCACACTTAAGGAACACATTTAGCAACTTTTATATGAATAATGCTGATAACTGTCATGAAAAGAGATTGAAGAAATCTACAGATGAAAGTAAGATGATAATCTTCCTCTGAAATGTATAAGGAAAGCAAAGGTTATATAAACCCCATTCAGGATAGTAGCAAAGATACTCTATTTACACTTAGGAGTTTTGCTTTCTCTCTTTGTCCTGTGACACTGCAGTTTACTTGTGCAAAAAAAATGCTGACATTAATCATAAAAACTGGTTACTATACATAAATAGGGAGAAATAGGAAGAGGTTGGTGAAAAAAAAAAAAAAACCTGATTACTGAGTAAAGAATTATAGTTTTGTAGGGGTGCCTGGGCGGCTCAGTAGTTTAAGCATCTGACTTCAGCTCAGGTCATGATCTCATAGTTCATGAGTTCCAGCCCTGCATCAGTCTCTGTGCTGACAGCTCAGAGCCTGGAGCCTGCTTTGGATTCTGTGTCTCCCTCTCTCTCTCTGCCCCGCCCTCTCTCTCTCTCTCTCTCTCTCTCTCAAAAATAAACATTAAAATTTTTTTAAAGAATTATATTTTTGTAGAACAAATACAATTAAATATTTTAAATTGTGTTAACGTCTGAGTCACTAAAGTATCCATGCCAAAAGCAAGATTAAGACCTAAACAGTAATACAAATGGCCAACAGACATGAAAAGAAGCTCAACGTCACTAATCATCAGGGAAATTCAA